AGAAAATACACCGAAAGGAACACAGCACGTCCACATTCTATCACGCATGTCCAACGCCCCCTAGGAGGGCCCACACTGCCACCAGTGTGGGCTTTGGCACTTCCTCCTCCAGGCGTCAGGCCTACTTGCATTGCTTTGCACAGAGCCCGCCTCACCAACCCTGCTTATCTGTCAGGTGGCAGCCATTGCTGCATGACCATCTGCTGGGCCAGGAGTGTGCTTTCAGGTAGCAGACGAGATCCTGCCCCACTGCAGCCCCTCCAGCAGGTATGACTGTGGGCCAGCGTTTCACACATACTGCCCATCAAATTTCTAGCCTGGTCTCATTTCTCCTTCTGCCACTTGCACAGGGTCACGGAGACCCCTCAGACACTTCTCCGACATCTGTCACCGCTGTGACATGCCAGCGCCTGGCCAACACCCCTTGGTAGGAGGCTCAGAAACTGTATGCTAGCCCACAGAGCAAGGCTAAGTTACGTAAATGCACAAAGGCCGGGAACCCAGTGTCCTGAAGTGTTACCTGAACGGTGGGAATGTGGACCTCCCGTGATGAATGGCCGGCGTGTTATTTTAGTCAGTACAAAGAATAGCGCCCTGTCGTCTCACACGTCATGGGGCTGTCACGCGTCTTTCACATAATAGGAAATGCTTCTCCCAAGGAGCGCTAGGTTTCTTCACAGACACAGAAACTAATTGAAGATGTCCCTTCCATTCCATGTGTTGTCACTGGGGTGTCCATTTAGGATTTTAGCCATTTCCTGCTTGTAGTTAGAGGTGTACCTGCCCTAATGGCCGTTCCGCTCTTCCCCTTCACGGATTTTAAAGGACTGGTTTTTTTGTTTTGTTTTGTTCTGGTTTTTTTTTTTTTTTTGGGTCTTCTTTTCCTTTTTCCTCCCCCAAGGTACAAAAGAGAACAAAGTATCTCTTGGGAGCTGGTTGCACAGTGTCACCCGCCCCCCCCCCCCCCCAGCAAAGTTCTAGGTAGGGTGAGACCTACCCTACAATCTCTACTGCTTCTCAGAGTTCAAGGAACATTGTGCTAGCATATGCATATCACAGACCTGTTCCTCACTGTCTTTTCGTATTTTAAATGTTTCACTTATTTTTTCCTCTTTTTTTTTTTCTTTGTTGTTGTCATTCCAAGGCTCGGTTATTGCATCTCCCAACTGCTGGGAAACACCTTTATGCATTAGAAGCCCCACTGACAGTGTGACTGAGGCATACCTGTCTTCTAAGGCTTGTCTCCTAGTTTGGTTTTGGATAACACCTTGATGCTAGTCATTTAAAGCCCTGTGTGGCCTCTGGGGAAATTCTCGGTGGTTTGACCTGAAGGAAGGGACAC